CAGATCTACTCGTCTGAGCACTCCTGTGTCTGCCTGGCAGGTGTATTGATGTTTCGATTGGCCGCATTGCCGCCTTCTCTACTGCACGGTGAGCTGATGGCCGTCACGCAGGATTCTGGCACACAGATCTACTCGTCTGAGCACTCCTGTGTCTGCCTGGCAGGTGTATTGATGTTTCGATTGGCCGCATTGCCGCCTTCTCTACTGCACGGTGAGCTGATGGCCGTCACGCAGGATTCTGGCACACAGATCTACTCGTCTGAGCACTCCTGTGTCTGTCTGGCAGGTGTGTTGGTGTTTCCTCTGCCGCATTGCCGCCGTCTCTACTGCACGGTGAGCTGATGGCCGCGACGCAGTATTCCAGCTTATACACATATGCTCCCACATGTGTGCTCCGGTATGCCCGCGGGTCTTCCCGCACTCATTTGTATGCGCCATTGATTCGTGCATCCATAGCATCTGAGCACAAAGCTCTTGGCGTGTTTTATCGTTAATTAATACGCCGACGGATGGGAATGCAGTGAGTGTCTATACAGCGTACATGGCATGTTGAGCGGGTCAGCTAAATATGCGTCAGAAGGATAGGAGTGCGAGAGATGTCTGACTATGCTAAAGGTCTGTTGGAGCCGGTCCGCCGCTCCTCTCCCTTGCTTGTGTCGCACCAGTAGCGGTGGGATACCGGTGGTGTAGGATTCATATTGTGTCTTTCTTGGCCGTCCCTCCCTCTATCCCAGTCTGTCTCCCTTCATGCTTCTCTTCACGGCTCCCTTCCAATCGCCTTTTTGCTACCTGCCACGCCCTGTGCCAGCCTTTTTTTATTATGGTGTCGCGCACGTCCCAAGTGGCAGGTCTTTGCAGACCTGCCACGCTTACGATTAATGATGGGGGGGAGGGGGAAGATTGAGACAAACAGAAGCTGCCCGTGTGAACAAACCCCTAAAAGCATGAGAAACCCCACGCGTTCCTCCTCGATCTGTCCAACATGAAAACACGCACCCTAACATGCAACACGGACACGCAACACGCAGCACGCAGAGGGCAGATGCAGCAAACAGGTGCAAATGCAAGGCGCTGCGAACGACGGCAAGTGCTGACACGCGATTTCAGACACTAGTAGTCACGCTAAAACACAACAAAACGAACCGACAGAAACGTGTCTTGGACTCTGTTGGCCGTTGCCTATTCATTCTTGACAAAAAATGTCTCCGCGGCACTCGTTGGGCCGCCCAGGCCCGGTGGGGGCCGGACTGCCACGCTCATACCACACCCAAAGATGGTCAGATAATGTGGAGTCAAGTACACAGAACGGGCGACGATGTTCGTCTAAGCCTCAGACAAAGACACCACCGTTCGCACGATGCAAACGGAACACCCCACACAAGGACACGAGCAAAGCTCAACGACTGCAAAAATCACAAGGAGAACGGACATAAGGATGTCGCGCACTGCACAGACACAACCAAGCGGGGCGTGCACCCCAATGCACACGACATCCACATCATGTCAGCCGCCCCACAGCCCCGCGATTGTACGGCCCTTCGTGGCCCTCTGGCGGGTTCGCACCCTGCCCACGACTCGCGTGGCCCTCGCGGGTTCGCACCCT